GAACTATGTAATATTCAGAACTAGTTTGCAGAATTCTTCCTTTCCTGTAAATGTTTTCAAAATATGTTTTAATCAATGGTTTAATTTAATTATAAATTTACATGTTAATTATATGAATTATAGGGGTTGAAAGATAGTTTTTAAAAGTTTGTGAAATATTTGTAAAATGTTTTGGATATATCAAATTTGTGAAATATCTTGGATATATTCATCATGCTGTTTATTTTACTTCTCTCTTTCTAGATCTTCAGTTTAGTAGCCAGTAGTCACAACTGAATATTGAGCAATAAGAGCGTAGCTGGCCAAACTGATCACAAGAGGTGCTGATAACAAAACTCATACCAGAAGTTCCTCCCTGGTGTCACAGCGTGTTAAAGCACAGCACTATGAAGCTAAAGCTACTTCAGCATGAGTTCGAACCCCAACCCCGGAGGTGACCACATGGCACAGCAGACCTCTCCTGACCCGCCCCCTCAGCAGTGTACTTGGTCAATCTGCCTGTTCTGCTCCCCACTCTGTCTGCAGTGAATCCTCTCACCACCCCCTGCACCTCTGGCCTGTACCCCAGTTCTGTATGCATAAATAAATGTCTTAAAAAAAAACTCATACCAGATTTCTAAGACTTATTAAGAAAACTGTAAAGTAATTCAATCATTTAAATATTAATTGCATGATTGAAACTATCCTATTTTAGAAATATTGTAGGAAATAACATATTGTTCAATTTTATTTCTCCTGTGCCTTTTAATTTGTTAAATGTGACTACTAGAAAAATTTTAAAAGGTGACTGGTATTATATCTCAGTTGGACAGCACTGCTATAAATAAAGCTTCCAAGACATTAGTAGATTCTAATTACTGTCTGTGAAAGACAAAAATAAAATGAAAAATGTCCTTAATGATTCTAAAAAGTCAACCTTCCAAATCAAGGCAAAATGAACTGGGCAAGGGGCCCACCTAGGTACAAAGGAAGGAACTGCGAATAGAGAATAAAGTGTGGCAGAAAATAGCCAAGGGCCTCAGGGAACCACAGCTCACCACTGTGGAGTTGGCACCACAGCATAATAGCAGTTCCAGGAGAATGATATCCATACTTAAGGACAATATGTGAAGTGGTTTTCGACTAGAATTCATGAGAGCAATGATCAATAAAAGAAACACAGTGTTCTGAGAAGCCGGTAAGGAGATGAGTGGGTTTGGCCCTTTTCAATCAGATCGTGCCTCTTCTCTAGCTCCATCCCAATAGCCTCTATGGCTGCAAGTCCCAGTACTGATCCCTCTCTCCTTTCATTTTGATGGTGAGTGACCCAATAACTGCCACCTGAGGTCTCTGGGGACTCAAAATTTGCATGATGATCTGATTATAACTTAGTGAATAGCTTTGAGAAAGTCATTTCTTTTCAGCATAATGGTTTCAATTCTTCCTCTATTTTGGTCTCCCAGCATGGGAACTTTTCTCTCAGTTCAGCCATAACCTCACCACTCAAGCATCTTTCAGTGTCACAGTTCACAACTCTTGCTGTCAGACACATTTTGTCACCACTTAGATCATATTCTATGTAGTTTAGTTGACTAAAAAAGAAAACTTTAAAATTTTATCTAGCAGCCAGTCACACGGTTATGAAAGAAGGCAACATTGTAGACAGATTTATTATAATACTTAATCAAGAGGCAGAATTATTTCTCTTTACACCAAGGAAATTGAATATTGTAGCAAGAAATCAATTTTTCAGTAACCTTCATTATTTAACAGTAATTAACTATAAGAAGCTAGGCTAACAAACAGGAATAATTAAGCAAATTGAGATAAATTCATATAGTGGCATCACTACGCAACTATTTAAAATCATGCTTTTGAAGATCAATGACAAGGAAAATATGCACAATGAAAGTTGATAAAGATACATAACTATTTACAATATGATCTGACACTGTGTTAAATAAAATACATGGGCTAGGTTAATAGTGGCTACCTTAGGGCTATCAGATTATAGGTACTTTCTCTTCTTTACATAGAGTTACTATGTTTTAATTTTTTACAGCAAACATATATTACTCTTATAATCATAAAAATATATTCATAAAATAAACTATCATTCACTAGTTTCCAGTTTTAGTAAGGCCAATTTTACAATACTACCGAAAGTTATCTTTCATGAAAAAAATCATACCATCTTTAAATATGATACAGAATACAGTACAGTAATTCATTATACTCTATAATCTTGCATCACTTAGATTAGTTATGACTGATATGATATTGGCTTATTTATAAAACAAACATCAGGATCATCTGAAAATCTGGTATAATAGACTTTCTTGTTTGAAAATTGGCAAGACTTACTTAAGGGGCATAAAAGGATAAGACCTAATTAGCCCTTTCTGAAATCAGTAGCATATTTCAGTGTAAAAGTTCAAAACAAAACTATTTTAAAGCTAGTTCCACAGAAGTAGCAGCAAAAAATATAAAATTGACCTAAGCAATCACAAGAACAAATCTTCCAGTGTTAAATCAAATGCTTTCGAACCTATTAAGAACTATTTTAAACTATCAAGTCAAAGAAATTATAGCGCATTCTGACAAACAGAAAGTGGAGTCTTTCTCGTAGGATGAATTATTATTTCATTCTTTTCCACTAAGAAAGGTCACCTCATTCATTCCAAGGTCTGTTCCAAAATGAAAGGGCTTATAACCAAATTAATCATGACATTGCTTATCATAAGCACTTTTTCCTCCTTTCACCCTTCTAGAATCACAGTAGAATAATGCATTTCACAATCAGTTTATGATTTCTGAAAAGCCTGGCACCTCATAATTCAAATTCATCTTTCTGTGCACATTTAGTGAAAGTCCCCATGTGCAGAACTCAATAGAGTGCAATGACAACAAGAATTTAAAGGTCTTGAAAGTCACATAAAATATAAAATTGTGCCCATTGGCACCCAGAGCAGCATAGACCTCTTGACTTTCAAGTTCTCATCCAGACCTGCAGAGACCTCACAGCCTCCTGTGGGTCTCCTCCAGCACCAGCCTGGACCCTCAGGGGCCTTGTGACCTCCAATAAGATCCGCACCTGCTCCGGCACTTGCACTGATTGGTAAAGTCTTAGACCCACGTCAAGGAGTAAGTTGGAGTGACCGTAGCCTCACAATCTCCCATAAGACACCCATAGCTGCTCACCTAGCTAACCAAGATTACTATCATGCCTTATAACAGACTTGGGAGGGTGGGGTGGGTCTCGAGGTCCTGCCCACTGGCCCCAGGCACCCCAACCAGGACCACCAGTGCACTGCCTGACCAGATGTACTCTGAGCAAGGCCTTAGCTACTGTACCCACCACTTGGTAACACCCAGAACAGTAGAAGAAGGTCCACATTTTAAAAAAGTCCCATCCACAGCAGAGCAAACCCTAAAACAAACACAGGGGAGAAAGAAAAATACAAATGACCAAGCAAGTCCTCAGGAGAACAATACACCACAGAAAGAAAACCATTTCTAGAGCCCGACAATACAGACATGGAAGAGCTTTTTTTTTTTATCAAATAAAGAATTCAAAACTGCCATCATCAAGAAAATCAAAGAATTACAATAAGAATTAGAATGCCAGGGAAACTAAAAACAACAATAACAACAACAAAAAAAAAACACAGATGAGAGATATGAGAAAACTCAAAAAGGAAAAGGAAGCTAAAAACATCAACGGAAAAGGTAAAGAATTCTCAAAAAAGTCACGAAAGTAGAATAGACCAAATGCAGCAACAAGCCAGTAATTTTAAAGACGCAGACATGAAAAGAACCAAGATGGGAAGATAAAAGAGCTATCAAGAAAAAAAAGAAAAACAGAGAATTATCTGACACTATGTGCAAATAAAATATAAAAATCCTAGGAATCCCAGAAGAGAGAGAGAGAGCAAAGAGTTTAAAAACTATTTAAGGAATTTTTTTTTAAAAAAGTTCCCAAACTTGATGAAGGAAATGAACATAGAATTACAGAAAGCTAAGCAGATGCCAAACTACCTAAGTAAAAGGAAATCTGAACAGACATATAGTAGAAAAGCTACAAAAAGTCCAAGAAGAAAATAAGTCAGAAAGAGAAAGATAAAAATGTGATGGTTTCACTTATATGTGAAATACAGGAGAAAAACAAACTTTCAGGCAAAACACACCTTGAAATCTGACCATAGATACGAGTTGCCCATGAGGGGTGAGGTGAGGGGACAGGTGTGGGAGAAGTGACCACAGGGTGGGGGTGGGGAAAAGAACAAGGGAATTAGTGATGGACTCTGGATGCTTTGACCTAGGAGAACTACAGTGACCACACCCAAGGGGAGCAATCATATATTGTCCAAAAATTAAATGAAAATAAACAAACATGATTGAACTTGAAAAATATATAAAAACTTCTGTCATTTGCTTACCTACATATATCATTAACCAGAAAAAAAAAATTAGTATTAGCAGCATTAGGTAGAAACATTGCTTATACAATAAAAAAAAAAAATCCAGCATAGGGTCTTTGACATCTCTTCTACAGTCTGCCATTTTTTTTCTCATGAGAAATTTGGTTTGACAGAACATGGTCATTTGGTATTATCATGGCTATTGAGAGAAGGTTATTTGGGACTTAATTTTTTATTCTAATTTTTACAATTATTACTTTCAAATTAAACTTTGTTTTTAGGAGTAAGCACAAATAAAAATATTCCTAACCTCATTTGATTTCAGTAAAAATGTTGCATTAGTGTGGTTTCTACTTTCTCTTATTTTTGGTACAGAATATGTGCAGAAATGGTAGTCACTTTTTAAACTGCCCACCAAAAAGAACAAATCCAGGCATTAAGCATACTTTTCAGTACTTAACAATCACCTGTGCTCATTTCCAAATATCAAAAATCAGATAATGAAATCTATAGTTTTCATAACACTGAGAAGTGCAAATGGCTAGCATCAAATGTGTGCAGATGACTAATTCAAAATAAAGAATAAGAAAATATTCAAGATTATTTGTAACTTCTCCTACCTTTCTTAGAGTAGTAAAAAATAAGGGAAAGAGAAGTAATAAAAGCAAAAATTAGAAAAGCAACAAAAACCAACAAAGACTTCCTAGTGTGGAAAAAACTGCACTGTGTGCACAGGGTGAATTCTTCTGGACAAAATCTTCCCAGAGTTCCAGGGCCTGGAAAGCCATTGTTGTCTATCATTTTCCTGTAGTATTTCATGGAAGGTTTGGGCTCAAACTGATTTGCAGCATAACGGTAGAGGCCAAACTTCGGAGCTGTGCGATCACTAAATGAATAAGCAAAGTATCCACAAAGATTGATGCCATCCAATACGTAGGCTATAAAATAAAAGGACAAGAGAAGAGTTGTTGAAACATTTTGCAAATAACTTTTACATAACTTTGATGCATCAGAAATTCAATATCATTTAATAAAATTTCAAACTAATCAGAAATTAGTTTTAAACTAATCAGAAATTTGTTTTCTTTGTGCAAAGATAAATAAGCAAACATCAAGGCAAAAATCGAGCTACCCATAACAATCTCATATAATTAAACCTATCATGATGTACTTGTGTTAAATCTTCATGTATGTGAAGAGCGAATTGTTGTGAAGCTATATGGAGAGGGAAGACTGAGTCCGTGCTTATAGATCCAGAATAGCTACTAAGAATTTCCCCTCTCCCACTTTTAGCTAAACTCCTTTATTTCTGAGAACAAAAAGTCCTGGACTTTGTCAGTGTGACAAGTAATAGACAGTAATAACAGCACTTAGCTGTTAGGATGACAGTGTGTGTTTATGTTTGAGGTGTTCTATGGGGTATCATGCTTTCTAGTGATACGAACTTTCAAAAGATTGAGCTTCCAGGGGCTCCTTACCTTTTAAAGCTTCGTTTACATAATTCTGCATATAATACACCCTCAGCTTGTCTTGGGCTGCATGCAGGTCATCATCAATGCCATTGGATATTATATACATGGGGAGGTCTCCATACTTGAATTTGAGCCAGTTCAGGACTTTGCGTAACCCCCAGGGCACTACCGCCACTTGACTGGGAGAGTTGAGCCAGGTGATGTCCGTCATTTCTTGCACTTCCAGATAGTCGTTGTATTTTACTGGATCTTCTTTCTCCCAGTCTACCAGGATGGTGGTGTAATGGCTTAATGCCAAAAAGTCAAAGGATCCCTGGATTAGCTTCTTATCATCTTCAGTGAAATAAGGTAGAAGGAAATTGTTTCTTTGATTCAGCCACTCCCTCATCACTGGCGGATAATCTCCAGAGCCAAAAATGGGCTCAGCCAGCCAGCCGATGTCAAATTCTAAAACTCTCTCTGCCACTTCTTTGTCTTTTGGGGAGAAAGGGCAGGCCGGTTCTATCCAATCAGCCTGCAAGGCAATGGAAATTTTACCTTTCTGAAAAGGTCTGAACTCCTCATCATACACACGCCAAGCCAACGCATGCGCCTTCAGGAGATTGTGCCCTGCTGTGTATGTCATGTTCCGTGTGTAGGGCTCACTCATCGTGATCCAAAACTTGACGTGGTGGCCGAGGTCGTTAAAGCACAGCCTGGCATACTCCGCAAAAGCCAGCGCGGTGTGAGGGTTCTCCCAGGCTCCGTGCTTGGCCAGGGGCCGCGGCAGCCCTTGATGCAGCGCTGCGGGGCGCCACAGAGCCACCACCGGGGTGATGTTGGCGCGCACAAGCTCACTGACCACACAGCGGTAGTAGTACAGGACAGTGCGGTTCACGTGCGACTGGTTGCCTCGCGGGAGGATCAGGGCCCAGTCCAGGGAGAAGTGAAAGTGCGTGACGTGCATTTCCTGGAGTAAAGAGATCTGGGGCCGTATAGCTGCGAAGTCCACGCAGTAGGACTTCCTCTTCTTGGTCACGACCCCATCCACTTTAATGAGCCTTTTGCTGTGGTGGACATCCCACAAGTAAATGTTCGGATCGGTAAACTGAGACAGAGTGGTGTCAATCTGGAAAGAGGAGAGCGAGAACTTCACCTGACTGTCCTAGAAACGCTGTTCAGTGCAATTTATTCAACAAAACTAGGGAGCAAGATGAACAATCAGAGAATGCTTTCTCACTGAAATTTTAAGATTCTTTTCACAAATAGTAAATCTCTGAAAAACAGAGTATTCTATTTTTGTTTATGCTCATATGTTTTACCCATAGTTCTCTCTAATCTTTGGACGGCCCCTCTAATGTTAAAAAAAAAAAAAATCTGCATTCTTTTGGTCACTTCAGATAGCCAACTTTATTACTTATTACACCTCTTTCATCTATTATGCAAACTATGGGCATAGCTTTCTTCAAATGTAAGAAATCACAGTGGTATAAAACTTTCCAGTTAAAAAGAGTTAGACAAAAAAGATAAAGCTTAAAAACTGAGTGAAACAGCATCCAAAAAAATGCAGTGATATTTAAAATTAAATTGTGCTTCTTAAAAAGCACACTCCAGATTAAGGTTTTCTCTAGGAAGAGGAGGAAGTAATAAGCACATATAATTCTTACCTATTTTTTGGCTTTAGGGCCAGTGACGGAATCTAAAAACTTCAATTTGATGGGAAAAAGTGCTAGAGAATGTGGAAATAAGAAACCTACTCTCAGAATTCACCAATAATTGGTTTTTTTTTTTACATGCTTAAAATTTTTTCCTAATTATTTTTCTGGGGTTATCATAACAATAATGGTTCTCAATCATCTGAGATATAAGCTTCCAAAATAAAATAGGTATTATTGAGAAAGAATAGACAGGCTGTAAAATCAAAATCACAAACTCCTCCTTCCATGTGTAAACCCTTGAGGGAATGGAAATTGAAACACTCCCCCAGTGCTCCTGCGCCTGCAGTTCTGGTTTTCTTCTCAGAAATAACCCCACTAGAACAGGTTCCTGGGCTTGACCCCCCTATTAAAAGCAGGAATAAAAAAAAGTCCAGTTTTGACTTTCTAACAGAGGTTTTGTTGCATTTTACGGGCCTGTTGCAAATGAACTTCTGTTTCTCTGGAGGGGTCAATGCTGTGCTTATAAAGGAAAGCAATAAAAGCCAGCATGTCAGAGAGAAATTGCTTTTTCTGGAGACTTGTCCCTCATAGATCACCCACGCATGCATTTCCCTTAAAACTGTGGGAATGCGGTCAGAGGTATTTTTCCACTGTGATGCACCACAAATCAAGTTTCCTCAGTTTTGTAAGAAAAAATGTTTGCATGCTCTTTTGAAGTGAATGTGTTCATAACACAAAAGATTTTTTTGGATTACTTTTATGGGGTGCTGGAAGGACTAAATTCATAACTTTTCTACCATAATTCTTCCAAAACAGCAGCCTTTATTGTGCATCTGAAAATAAATATAAGGGATGGAATAACTTTTTTGAAAAGACATTTCTTTCTAAATATAGGATATTTAAATATAGGCTATTTAGAAATGAGTGCTTGGCAAATTTCTATGTAACTTCCATTAATTGTTGATGGTTTTTCAATAAAAAATGAAGTAATAAAGTTGTAAAGAAATGGTATAAAGTGTGCATTTGGTATGTTACAAAAACTACCAGTGACAAGCACTGAAGAAGCTGTCTGGCTTCAGTGTGGGCAGTTTCTAGGCTGTATTCAGTATCTGCATTATGAGAGAGCAAATGGGTTACCTGGGAACCAGTGTCCAAATTCAGTGATAATCCATGTGAATAGGCCTAACATCACACGCCAGACAGGTGGTATGCTTAATGGGGTATCATTTTTCAAGTTTTTGAGTTGACATGCATGCTTCATTAACACAAGGAGTTTGAAACACTAGCCAGGAGGGGAAAGGCAAAGTTAAATGCTTTCAAAAAATCACTTGTCAGCATTTTAACATATCTTTAAAGTCTAAGATACAGCTTGTATATTAAAACACACACTGCTCGATACTGACCTAAAAAAAGGCTTGATTTCTTTTGATTTATAAGAGATTTGTTTGGAAGGGCAATGCCCAATGAATACAGAGCTCAAGGTGAATAGCAAAAGGAATAAAATAGCTCTTGCAGCCATTGCCTACTGCAGAGCTTGCAGAGAAGTTCGCCGTGGGTTTGGGAGTGGCTGAATTTTGTGTTTGGCTGATTCTGCATAGATGGGAACTATAGAGGCAGTGGAGTAAACACCCCAAAACTGATGAGGTAAAAGGATGCTGAGACCTTAAAGAAAACGTCAGGGCCCACGAGTGACTGGTTAACATTGGTTCAAATTCTGAACCAATTTCTTCTAAGGAGTAGAAAGTAGAATTCTCTCTCCCCTCACTTGTAGCATCTGACTTCAGTTTCTCTTCTCTCTCTAGGTTTAGGATGTACTCTTATACCTTTCTCACTACTTTCCAGTTCCTAAGGCAAACACCATCCTTGGATGGGGAGCCAGAGCAGGAGAGAAAGGATTCTTCCATGTCTCTGCTCACCCCTGAGTCACACTGTGTGCACAGAGATGCCAAAGGAGATGTCTCTTCAAAAGGACTGAACTGGCAGCTCCCTGCCAGGCTCAGCTACTATCAAGTATCAGGGCAGAGTGCGGACTCTCAATGACGAGGGACCCTGGGCCAGCAGGGAGCAGGCACGACAATAGAATAAGGACCAGAGACCATCACTGTGTGCCCAATCATGCTCAGGGACCAGGGAAGGACCCCGGAAGATTTTCCTTCTTCTCCATGGCCTTTTTCCTTTTCCTTCTTCCCCATCAGCACCGCTTCTGCCCCAGTGGATACTAATTGAACCCCACTGTGTATCTCACTTACAGTAGAGAAATTAGGATGGGAAGATTTCAGACAGCAGTGGCTGAGGGAGAAGGAGAGACAGGGGAAGGAGGGAAATCCCAAGCCAAGCAGGGGGCTAAGACCGGCCCCTGTGCTCACTTTGTTTGGTGCCAAGTGTTCCTCTGCTACTTTTTGAGTGTTAAGGAAGCGGTTGAAGTCTGAGGCTGCCCTAAAACTAACCGATGGTCTGAAAAAGACAAGATTACAAACCAGCAAAAAGTTATTAAGTATAGTATTGATCAGTTTTCTTATAATAAAGAATGTCAATTTATTATTTTCAATGTATTATTTACAAGAACAGCAACCTACTTCCTCAAATATAAGTGTTCTTCCAGACACTTCTTTAGAGCTAAAGGGTAACAGAAGACCCCAGAATATGACTTGTTCAGGACAATCAACCCCAAAACACACTGTGTTGGTGCTGGTTATTTTGAATTGCAGGTAGTTTAAAATACTGCAAATACAGGGAAAGATTTATCTAAACTCTCCTTCTCTGCCTAAAGACAGGTCATCTAAAAAGGAACTCACTTGTTAATAACCCTCTCTCAGGAAGGTTCATCAGCCCTGAGAGACTGACCTTTGTCACAGGAGGCAAGATTCGAAGTCACCACCAAGCACAAAGCTTGTCACAAACTATCACACCTTCCATCTATTCAGATTCATTCATCTTTGCTAAAAATCATTTACCCTCCCTTCTTGAGGTCTATAGTCACCTTCCTTGTTTCCTATTAAGATGATACTTAAGCCTCATTCTAAATCACCTGAGGGTGTTACCCATTTTTTCCTGAGCATGTTTCATGTAATTACGAAGTATACAGATTAATCTTTGGTTTGTGTGTGTGTTTTTTTTTTATTAATGTTTTCCATCTTAAGAATATCAGCTAAGGACTCAGAAGGGCACAGGGAAATTTTCCTCCCCTGTAAAGTCAAAGAATTTGTTAGAAGCACCACCCAACATACTAAATCCCACTGCTTATCTGTGGACCCTGACCTTGGTCACTAGTTGCACTCAAGATTGTTCAGCAATCCTGTGGTTGACCTGCACACTTCCCACCATGTTGTGTTCACTTAGTTACTTTATTTGTGTCCATCATTTTCCCTCAGTAGATTCCTTTGAAAGGCAGGGTCATATTTTTCTCAGCATCTGTCCCCTTGATCTAGCAATCCCAGCAATTAACACAAGGTTTTATACATACTAGGTATCCAATAAATGCTCATCACTGTGTTCAGTCAAACTCTAAGAAAAATCCTTTAAAATTAGGAAAATTAGGGTCTTTCCTGGTGGCACAGCAGGTTAAAGCACAGCACTGAGAAGCTAAAGCCACTGCAGCATGAGTTCCACCCCGGGCCCCTGAGGTGACCCACATGGCGCGGCAGACCTCTCCTGACCCGCCCGCTGCTCCCCTCAGCAGTGTACTTCATCGATCTGCCTGATCTGCTCCCCACTCTGTCTCTAGTGAAGTCTCTCACTACCCCTGAGCCTCTGGCCTGTACTCCAGTTCTGTATGCATTAATAAATAAATCTTTTTTTTTTAATTAGGAAAATTAAACATAAACTTGACGTCTAACTCCATAATTCATCCTCAGTAAATTGTAATTGATCATTTTGAAGATCTTCCATGTCATTTTGATGACTATTATTAGAAATAGCATTTCGATCAGTGAATCATTAGATTCACTGATTTTCATTTTCCAGGGGTTTCTGCAAGTTTGGAGGATTCAGTTATGCCTCAGGAGAGCACTCACTGCCTAATGTTCCTATCTCAGTCTCAGCAGCTCCACTGACATCTCAGGTATGTAGAATATTCTGATATATTTTGCTTAAGGAAGAACTCACCTGTTTTAAAAAAGAATGAAAACCACTGTATTGAAACAGAGTATTTTCTCACTTTATTACCTTGCCAGATCTTAAAAATTTATGTTTTAAATTTGTTCTCTCTTAGAAACAAGAGCAAGATAAAGCGAAAGTGATTTTTAGAGAAAAGGGAGCAGTGTTCAAAATTCTGGCCTTGCTGTGCTCATTAAGGAGCCACATTTGGCCTGGAGAACTGACAAAATGTCATGACAACCAGCCTAATAAGGAAGCACTACTTACTAGTGATAGGGCTTGGTGAGACTGCTGATTGCATTTGTCAGCTGACTTACTTGAATGTAGTTGTCAACAATTCCCCAAGCAAAGTCACAGGGAAATGTCCCATTTAGGGGTTGATTTTCAGGTAAAGGAGGGAAGCCATTTTTCTCTATCAGCTTTTGGTAGAACAAGGCTGAAGACTTCGGCAACAACTTCTTATCTTGGCTTAGAAAGTCAACATAGAAGAGCCCACGTCTGATGCTGTAGCCTCTGTGCCACTCGAAGCCATCCATCAAGGACCATGCCGTGTACCCAATGACGTTCACCCCATCCAACTTGATGGCTGCAAAGGGAAAAGAAGACAGAGCGCTGTGACCCTTTGCTCAACACTCACCTCCTATTTCAACGGCATTTGAAGGGTTTTCAACATAACAAAATAAGTTCAATATAATGCTTATTGTTTGGGAAAAGCACACACTTCTAAGTTGGTGATTCTACAAATAAATATCTTCACAGATAGTCTTATCTAAAATGCTTTTATTCGCATGTCCTTTATTTTTAATGGGGACTCTCAGACTTGGGAGGAAAACTTTTTTCTACTTTTTATCCTAAATACCTAGCATTGTCCCTAATGCAATGAAGGAATTAAGTCTCTAAAAACATGAACTACCTATCATTTTCTCCAGGAAATGCTGATATTTCTTTAAAAGGTATGTTATACAATTTAAAAAAAAAACATGTAGGAACGGATAGGTATCTGGGGATTTATTTAATCATTCATGTAATCTAAAAGTCTAGTAACTCTGGAAGTCAAGCAATTTCATACAATATATTCTTGTTTCTCATTTATAAAATGAGTTTTGAAAATTGATTTAAATTCCTCAAGGCCCCAAGTGTTACACAAATGCATTCCTACTATGCCAAAATTAACTTCTCCATTATGATTAAAAAATATGAGTTCTCATAGTTTATTACAGATCATCTTAAAGATTGTTTTCCCAGTGCATTTTGGCAGGAAATTAGAATTTTATCCATAATCCTACCTTTTAAGGTTTCCATTATGAACTTTTTGAGGTAATACATATATTTGGCATCATCTCTCTTGGTGGTCCCTGAAACAAACCAACCATTTTCTACAATAAATATTTGAGGGTGGTTGTATTCAAGATCAATCCAGGAAAGGAGTTGCCTCAGACTGGGAGATTCTAACTGGTGAAATTTCATATGAGGGTCCAATAGTTGAAAACTCAAGGTTGGTCCAAAGGAAAGAGCAAAAAAGTCAGCTGTTCCTTTGATGAGCTTTTTCTCAGATTCAGTGAAAGCAGGCAGAAGAGATGAAAGATTGCTCTTCATGCTCTCAGGATAATCACCATCGATAAATATGGGTTTGGCAAACCATCCTAATACAAAATCAAGAGATTTTTGACATTCTTTGATGCTATGGTCAGTCATTCTCCGAGGAGTGATCCAGTGAGAGCTTAAGGCAATGGACACTTGGCCTCCTTGAGTTGGACGGAAGGAAGTATTGTAGAGATGCCAGATTTTGGCATGAGCCTATAAAGAGAAAAACCACAGTGAGCCGATTACAATGAGAAATCAAATATATATTTGAATCTCCAGCCCCAGTTGTATCTGTTTCTCATCAAATCTGGTAACTAATCCCACAAAGTAAAAATGACCTGGAACCTGTGAATTATTTCAGAGGTCTATCAGCCCCCACCAACTGCTACCATGACTAGAATTATTTCCATTGTTTTTCAGGAGCCAGTGGAAAAAGGTGAATTACTTGTGTTGAATGTGTAATTATTATTCATGCTTTGAAAAATTAATGAAATAAAAATTTGCTTATAACATCTTACTACTTAATTGACTTTGGATTATGTGCTTTTTAATTAATGGGCTTTGTATAAAGAACCGATCTTACATCTGTGATCACTCCAGGAATTTCTAAATAGGATTATCATATATTTCTTTTATCCTAAGAGACTGGGAGTTTTCAAATTGACTCAAATTATTGGAATCAATTTAATATGTTGTATTCATCTTTCATAGCTAAAATTCTAACACATGTTCTTACAATCTGTTTTTTTTTTTTTCCTAAGAATCAGCACAATAAATTAGAAGACCAACTGCAGTATCTAACCTTGACCCACCCTCCAGAATGCTTAGATACTGCTGGCTTCCCACAGGCCCCATGGTGCAGGGTACAGCCAAAAGAAAAAAAAAGAACCACCTAAATAGAACTTTGATGAGATCAGATGTCCATAGTTAACACTCAGTTGAAAGTTTCCTATGGCAGTGTACTGTTTCCATAATACCAACTCAAGACTCCCATAAAAGCTTACTGAGTTCTCTTACTTTCATTGATTTCCTTTTATTTGATATACTGACAATGATGGTATTTCTCTCCTATTTGATTAAGCTTATCTTTACCTTTGGATTCCTAGATTTAATCTCTCTATTTTGGTACAAATTCAAGAGTTTATCAATCTTTTACACCCTAACACATCCTCTTCAAAAAATTCTAATTCTGTTTGACTCATAGTATCCAAAATGATGAAGCCAATTTTCATTCCACTCCCTGGCTTTTTCCCTCGGGTACCAAATATCCTCTCCACTTTTCTTAAATATTTTTGTGGTTCTTTTCAGCACAGGCATCCAAAAATGGCCTTATCACCACTCTTAGGCGTTCAGCCAAACATTTCAATAAAATATAATAGTTCGTGTCTTTCATTTTTAATTTCTTAGTAAATGTCTATTTTAGATTTTATCTACTTTAGAAACATCATTTCACTAAATGTGTTTTGTGACGACCTGAAGCAGATATTTACATTCTAAGAAGGAAATGGAGAATAAAATGCTGATGAAAGGACAGTGGCATTTGCCCGTGCAATCCAAGAAGCTGGACCGTCTCCTGCTATGCTGCGTCAGCATTCCCCACCCTCTTCTGTCTCTCACCACCACCACCCCCCACCCTTCCTTCCCCAAAGACAGAAAGAGTCATCTCAGATTGAACAGTTAAAGAGGAAAAAAAAGGTAAAGTCTGGCTGGTTGGGACATTGGACCAGGAGACTTTCCTAATTTGCCCCAATTGTGGTTTAGAAGAAGTATGAAGGTTGGGGAGTGTGGAAGGGGTCAGTCAGAACTGAAAGCAATCTAATCGCTTCCTAATCTGTATTCATTTTGCTGGTAGCTGAAGACTCACACAATAGACTGGTCTGTAATTTCAGACCAGTCTTCTAACCTTGAGTTCTGCAGCAAGGCTCGGAGGAGGTGAATGGTCTGGGTGTTACTGAAGTGAGCACAAAACCTTTGATGTCAAGATTTATTTATTTATGCATATTAGAACTTGGTGATGGGCTAGAAGTGCAGGATGTGAGGGGACTCACCAGAGACAGAGTAGGGAGCAGAACAGGTAGATTTACCAAAATACCAAATATACTCCTACAGGAGCAGCATCAAGACAAGAGAGACCAACTTCACAAAATGTGGGTCAGCTCCCAGACTGGGGATTGAACTCAGGCCACAGCTGTGAAAACTCTGAGACTTAACCTGTAGGCCACAGGGAAGCCTCCCTGCTCATTCTTAATTGTGTGCCTTTGAATACACAACTTAACCTGGGTAGGCAAACTAACTCCCTTGTACCTCTCAGTGTTGTTGCAAGGACTAAATGAGTTAATTTATGTAAAACACCTATGTTTGACTACAGTAAGATCTCCATGAGTGTTTATTCCTTCTGTTCCAAAGGATGAAGAGTCCAAAAAGGAAGAACATCACAAGTAAGGAAAATATTAGAAGCAAAGAAATCACTACCCATTAAGGATTTTAGTCCATAGCAACAATGGGATATAGTGATTCAGCCTGGAGTTTGGAATAGAAGAGAGTTAGGGTTGGATCCTCTAAGCATTATAAGCATGAGCTTCATTTTCCTCTCTGTGCTAATGAGAATAGTGTTTATTTTTCTACAGGGACATGGTGAGGATTAAATGCTGTGATGCAAAATAAAGTGTCTATCAAGTAGTTGATTATTTTAGAGAATTATAAATTTGAGGCATTAGAAAGTGTGGTGGTTAATTCTAAGTGTCAGCCTGACTGAGATAAGGATACCTATAGAGAGCCTTTAAACATTTGTTAAATGTTTAGCTGACTTTTTCCATGGGATTGCTGTCCTGGCATCCATTTCGCTTGACCAAGGAGTCTGAATGAACCTTAAACTGACATGAGCCCCTCCCCCCCCGTGCAAACACCTGTTCTCAATGTAGTTCACTGAGCCATAAGCAAATGTAGGTTCCAGATGTAACTTCTCCAGTAGCCGTGGTGATCAATAGTCTCCCCAGCCTACCAGTCCCTCCCCTTTATGTATTCCTTAGATAAGACTCCTGTGGGCTTACTAAAGAAGTCTTGGTTTGAATGGACTGATCCAGCCCTAGACCAGGAATGCCAAACATACCACCTACAAATCCCAATATAGGCATATGTCCTGGATTTTGTCCACCTACACCCTAACTCTCTCTGTGGCCTCTTGAAGCATATTGTATACTTCCTCTAGGGCCTGTGATAATGAAATTCCACTATTTTTAATAAATGTGAATTTAACTATACATTATTTCTGAGTGCGCATGTGAGAGTGTTACTGGAAAAGTTGAATATTTGAACTCATCTGTAATTCACAGGGGCCTAGAAAGAACAAGACAATGGAAGGATGAGCATCTGCCTTTTCCTACATTGGACCTGACACTCCTAATTCTCCAGCCTTCAGGTTTGGACTGGAATTACACCATCAGCTTTCCTGAACCTCCAGCTTACAGACTGTAAATTAGGGAACTTCTCAGCCTCCAAAGTGACAAGAGTCAAGCCTCATACTAAGTCTCTTTCTACATATTTATATATATTTTATTGGGTTCTGTTTTGCATACATCATGTACTACAGATATACAATATCAGTGAAAAGTCCAAAAGGAAAGTGAAGAAAACAGTCGTATTTATAATGATTCCAAAAGTATGAAATACTTCAAAATAAATGTAACCATTCTCACCACTAGGTAGAGGATAGATAGATAGATAAGGAGTGAGTGAAGATTGATGATAGAGAGTGTGTTGATGCCTTAGTCACAGGCAATGCTATTTCATGGACAGAAATATAATAATCTAGGATTGATGTAGCAAGAGAAAATTGGTTTTCTCTGAAACACAAATTCATTTCTGAAACTACAATAGTAATTTGTTACCTTAAAAAAAAAGCAGCCTTTTAGCTTTTAACTAAGAAGATCAATACTAACTTATTCATCCATCCATGCACTCATCCATCCATTCATTCATTCATTGAACAAATGCTGTCATGGGTGTTTTTCTGTGTTCTTAAAATCAATGTGACTCAAAATAAGATTCTGTTCTCATTAAGCTTACATACTTATTTGTAAGATTAAATTAATCCTCTAATAATAATTCCCTTTCAATTTTTTTAAAGAATGGCTATAAAAGGTGACCCACTTGATGTTATTTCTGGGCCATATTCAAGTGATTGTTAATTTTTCCATATCTTGAAAGGAAGAGAGATAGAAAATGAATGAAAGCAGAGTAAGATGCAAGAAGATCACACATTAACATGGAGGAGTACAATTCAGATACAAAGGGTTCTTTGAGGAGGTATTGTTTGAGGAAAGATTTATTAATAGCAGAACAAATGAAGGATGCTAAGTAAGACCTAGAGAGGAGAAATCATCCAGACACAGAAGAATGGGCAAGAATAAAGAAAGATCTGTGGGCCAGGAAGGAAGGTGGCAGGTTGGCAGGAAAGCCATAAAGAAAGTGAAGAGGGCACCTCGGAGGACAGAAGACCAGACACAGGTATTTAATCTCCACCCCACCTCCAAATCTAGTGGGAAGCTGTCAGCGATGACCGAGGTTGGATTTAAGAGAACTCTGAGAAGAGCATGAGGATGAGAACTCTGAGATGACTCATTCTCCAGAGCATTCAGAGGGGATCAGGCTGAGGTGGCAACTTGCTTGCTTACCTAACGCTCATTGATTTTTCTTAGGAGTACTGCACTACTTGATTCAAGATTGGAGTCTGAAGAAGTCTGACACATGATAGGCTGGATCCACATGGGCCCACATTGGCAGAACTTACTGAGGATTTACAGTAATTTACTGTTACTGTAAATGCAACAGAAGGTCATTAGATGGATGAAAATAACATTTAAGAACATGGACTTGGTCAGATTGATCTAGTTTGCATTCTTATTAGTTGTTGTGACCTTGACACATAATTTAAATCTTTGTGTCTCTTGTCTTCATCTGTAAAACAGGGATATCAATAACACCTTATGTTCACATCCCTTTGAGTATTAATTAAGTCAGTCTTCATATTCTGAGAATTGTGACTGCCCATATACATTTATGATTCAAGTGGTAGCAACATAATTTGATAAATGATTTTTGAAAGATGACCAGCTGCCATATGGAGAATAGATTCTAGGAGAGTAAAGGGGTATAAAGGCAACTATTGCAATAATCAGGCAAAACACGGTGCTGGTTTGGGCCAAAGAATACAG